CAGCTCAGCGGCAGCTCAGCTCGGGCCGGACTCAAACCGCTGTTGCTCAGAGCTCAAACCTTTGAGTGAGCTCTTAACCAACTGAGCCACTCAGCCGGCCCTGAACAATTCTTAATCAATGGCCTATATGCATCTTTAGCAAACCCAGGGGGAGCCAGTAGGCATCAAGAGGCACAGAAGAGAGATTAGCAGATTAACAGACTGTTGCAGTTCACTTCTTTTATGAAAGGTTCTAATAAAAGAAGCCAATCAAGAGTTAGAAGGATCTTTTCCAAATAGTGATACCCACACTAAGCCAAACAAAAATACCTAAGTGTTCATCTATGAAACTAAAACTTTCAAATAGTTTCACTAAGAGCATATGGTAAACTCTATGAAATACTTGAACACAGAACTTGAGGACGTACTTGTCCTTTTCGTTTTCTTCATGTTTGGTGAGACTACAGAGTTGAAGAGTATCAAGCTGCTGCGTTACTTCTTCTGCCCAACGACAGTTGACTAGTTCTCGTAGCTGGAGTGGAGCCCTGGAGAAAAGATACACACATATATTCTAACTCAGAGATTTGACATTATTTCCTAAAATAAACACATTCCAATGGTAAATATGTGAAGTGCTGGATGTGTTAATTAACCCTGTCGCAGGGAATCCTTTCACAGTGTATACATATATCACATTATCTCATTGTGCCCTTGAAATACCTGACAATTTTGTCATTATCTCAATAAATCTGGAACAAAATTATCAAGAAAAAATAAACACATTCCTCAAAATAGAGCTCACAATTCATTCATTCCATATTACTATTAAAATAATAACAAAGACACAATGAAAAGTATGTTTTGTAACTTATTTTTACATTAATGTATGATTTACAAAAAAAAAAAAAAACACTGGCAATTCAGAGTACAGGCTGATTTCTTAATTCCTCGCCTAAAGCTGTACTGTCCAAAATGATAGCCAATAGCCACATGTGACTACTCAAATTCAAATTAATTAAAATTAAAAATAATAAAATTTCATTACACAATCACACCAGACATATTTCAAGTGCTCAATTGCCACATGTAGCTAGTGGCTAACAAATTGGATGGCAAAGCTATAGAATATTTCTATCATTTCAGAAAGTTCTATTTGATAGCGTAAGTCTACTTAGAAGTTAATATGAAAAAAGTTAATAAATGAAGAAAAATGGGTTAGCGATGTGAATAGTTTAGAACAAAAAGAAATATAAATGGCTAAAAATATTTCTAAAGATGCTCTATTTCAATTGTTTTTAAAAAAGCATATTAAAAACAAGATACCATTTTTCACTTAGTAGAATGATAAAAAAAATGATAATTGTTAATATACAGTGCTGGCAGGAATATGAGGAAAAGGCACTTTCATGTCTTTTCTTAAGAATGTAAAATGGTAAAAACATTTCCTTCAGTGCAATCTGGCATCATTGTTTGAAATAAACAAAAGTGGAAACAATCTAAATGTTTCTCAATATAAACATAAATAAACCAATGTACAGTCACATAACGGATTCAAACGTTTTTTAAATGTCTACACACCATCAACAAAGGTGCTACCATATTTTACACGAAAAAAAAGCAAATAGCAAAACAGTATAACATCTGTCTTTTAAGAAAAAATTTGTATGTATACATCAGTATACACCCAGAAAAATGTTTAGGGGAGTAGATACCAAACCTAACAGTTTGTTCTGAAAGTGCTGTTTCATGAAAACATTAGGTGGGGAATAACAGAATCACACTTGTTATTTTTATATATAATCCAGTCTATCTGGATTTCTTGAACCAGAAACCTTTTTTAATTTTTTTAATTACAAAAAGTTTAAGTTAAGAAGCTACACAATAATCTTCTAAAAGAAGGTAAACAATGGAATGCATTCTACATAATTCTAAGTCAGATAAATTAGTTTGCACTGCTATATCAAGACAGATTACTTGTTTTCTTTTCAACTGTATTCATAAACAGGAGAGATGCAGCAGCAGATTGCAGAAAGAATTTTATGAGTACTAGGGCACACTCTGACTGCATCACATTATTTTCCCAATTCACAAATAATCATAACAAAACACTTACCGACAATGAGGACACTGAGCCCTCTGCTCTGTCAGCCAGCGCTAAGGAGGCAAAAAGAAATTAGATTTTTGATTGCAGAAACACCATTACTGCAATTTGTACATATTGAATACTTATATATCAAATTTAATGAGTTTAACTCTCTAGTGCCTGCATTAATTATAGAGATACTTATAGAAATAAGAAGCAATCTACTGTCTCCCTCTCATTATCGTGACCTGGACAAAATTTCAAAGGGACAGAACTAATTTCAAAATAGTTAAGAAGCTATTCTCTCATAGGAAAGAAAGTGATTCTAGGACTATCTGGATTTTACAGAGAAGATGTGGGTAATCCTCACAAAAATAATGATATTGTCATTGCCATCTCCAAAAATAAACTACAGTGATTTATTTCTAACTAACCTATCATAAAATCCCTGAGGAAATTTAAGTTACTATTAGTTTTCTTTTTAGAAAAGCAAACTAATTTTGAAGTATATACAAATTAGACCTAAAATATGAATAAGCAATGTAGCAAAACCTCTTTTATGTCTTCAAAGAGTTCTACAGTTAAGAACTTAAACATCTATATAACTTGTTTTCCTCATAATTATAAAAAGGTTTTACAAGAAAATAATGTCTCTACTAAACCTCCAATTCTATTAATTTAATAGTTTTAATTATTACTGGATAGGGAGGAGTTTTACACCATATACAAAGGAGATGCTTAGACTTTCTGAATACCTTTCCAAAAACAATAGCTTTATGGTTAAATATTTTATGTTTTAATAGACTGGTAAACAGATTCAGAGGTAAATGAGTATTTATGTAATTCAATACCTATGTTTTCCCAGTATCTGATACTTCTGTTTTTTCCATTTGTACTTCTATAAAACAACATAAGCTTTTATCTAATGTCAAATAATTAATCGAGAAATAAAATTCCCAAGGAAACTGAAAAGGACAATAAAAGATGAAAGACAATGGGGAGAAAGGTACTTGATCGCAATAAATAAAGCTGAAAGAAAAAGAAAATAGATGGAAAAGGATTCCTCCATTCTTAATAACCTTGAAAAGTATTTCTTCCGTCCCTTGGCAAACAAGATTTGGGTCAGGTTTCTTCCCCAAAACAATGCTCTGCTGAAGTCATAGCACCCCTCCAGGGCTGATCTCACCCCACACCTCCCTAACCTCCTCTTCTACCTCACCCTAGGGGACCCAGCAAGGTTAAGCCTTTAAACGTGTCTGGTCTCTCTCTGCCCCGGATATATGTCAACACCTCTCTTCAACTGAGTTATTCCTACTCATCCTTTAGATTTCAATTTATATGTCACTTCCTCCAGAAAGCTTTCCATGACACTCTACAGGCTATTTTAGATACCACTGCCATGCTCTACCACAGCAACCTATACTTCCCCCTTCATTTTGCTTATAACACTTTATTATACTGACTTATTTGTTGGTCTCCCCTCCTTTGATAGACTATAAGCTCTATCAAGTTTGGGACCATGATAGGAAGTGACTAGTCCATAATTTTTCATATACTCCTCCCTTCCGAACAGGCTTACTGCTGCAATGTATAACACTCTTGGCATCGTGTTTGTGGATTTGCTTATACAGTCCCTCCCTCAATGTGCTGTCACATGGGAACATCCATTGATTATGTCCGTGAGATGTTCCTGCCTATCCCAGGCTAGTAGCCTTTCCCTTTTCTGCATATATGTGGCATTTTTACCTTGTATTCTATGATCTAACTTAATCAAAAAAATCAATATAATTTTAATACTTTGAGAAAAACAATGTTTTTTTTTCAAATCAAAACCAACGGTAAAAAACAGTAAACAATATTAAGTGAAAATAATATTAAAGAAACATCTTTATAGCAATTCCTCCACATTTAATTGAAGAATTAGTTTCTCTCCTTCATTAAATGGAAGAATCACAAGTTTTAGATACCATTCAGACCTCAGTCTGATTCCTAGCTCCGGCACTTACTAACCACGTTGATACTAGACAAGTGACTGAGCTCAAGATTCCTTGATTTTACAACATGACCAAGCTGGATTTATTCCTGGAATGCAAGGATAGTTCAACATACAAAAATTATTCAGTGTAATACATCACATTAATAAAACAAAGGGAAAACAACACATGATAATCTCGATACAGAAAAGGCATCTGACAAAATCTAATATCCTTTCATGATAAATACAACTTAAGAAATAGGAATAGAAGGAAACTTCCTCGATTTGATAAAGCCCATATTTAAAAAAACCATAGCAAACATCATATTCAATGGTTAAAGGCTGAAAATTTTCCCCTTAAGCTCAGGGAAAAGACAAGGACACCCACTTTCAACACTTCCAGTTAACATAATACTGAAAATTTTAGCCATAGCAATTAAGCAAGAAAAATAAATAAAAAGCACCCAAAATGGAAAAGTAGTAAAATTATTTGTTTGCAATGATATAATCTTAAATGTAGAAAACCCTAAAAATTTCACAAAAAAACTATTAAAGCTAATAAATTCACCAAAGTTCCAGGATACAAAAATCAATGTACAAAAAACACTTGCATTGCTATATACAAGCAAAGAATCCAAAGAGGAAATGAAGAAAATACATTGAAAATAGCATCAAAAAGAGTAAAATACCTAGGAAAAAATTCAATCAAGGAGTTGAAAGGTTTGTACATGGAAAACTACAAAACACTGGTGAAAGAAAGTAAAGAAGTCCTAAATAAATGAAAGACATCCCTTATTTACGGATAGAAAGATTTAATATTGTTAAGATGGAAATACGACCCAAAGCAATCTACAGAATTAATGCAATTCCTATCAAAAACCCAATGATCCTTTTTAGAGAAGTAGAAAAACTCAATCTAAAATTCAAATAGAACCTCAAGGGACCTCAAATGAACAAAGACTAAAGAGCAAAAAAAAAAAGAGAGAGGAAAAAAAGATAACCAATCTGAACGGACACCAAACAGCCAAAACAATCTTGAATTTCCTGATTTCAAATTTCACTACAAAGCTACAGTAATCAAAACAATTTGGTACTGGACAGAAATATACCCCAATGAAATAAGCGAGCCAAGAAATAAACACAAAAGGACAAATCTTATATGATTGCATTTATATGAGGTACTTAGACAAGCACATTCATAGAGACAGAAAGAATAGTGGTTAATTGACAGGACTTAAAAATTATTAGTGTAAGAGATTTCAAGGTTGAGTGACTGGCATAACAGAACAAAAAGAAAGTAGTTAAAGAGTCCATATGAGAAAATAACAGGAAAAATTTAATCTGGAAAAAAGTTCAAGATGCTGGAAGGACAATCAGATAAGATATTTATAGGTCAACACTGAAAGAATAGATTTAGGAGCCATACACACAGAGATGATACTTAAAAACCTGCAAGAGTAAAGCAAATTTCCTAAAGTAGAGGAAATTTCCCCAGAAACCTGAGAAGAGAATTCCAGCAGCAATATTTAAGAAATATATGCCTTTAAGGAGCAGGAGGAAGACAATGTAACAATGAAATGAAGAATCAGTGAGATATAAGGTAATAATCAGAGGTCATATGTATGTATACTGAACCTTCATCAAAAGGTCTGAGTCCACATCCAGACTCTACCACTTAACTAGTGACAGGGGCCAATTACTTAATGTCTCTAGCTTCAGTTTCACCATTTATAAAACATAAATAAAGGTATGTGTATCAGTTGCTATTTTAACAGTAGAATAATATAACACCTTATAAGGGTAGTACTTTATACTTTCTAAATTACTTTTTAGCTTATTTCATGTAATCCCACAACCATCCTATGAAGATCTTGTTATCCACTTTCTAGAGCTGAGGAAACAAAGCTAAGAAAGACTGAGTCTCAGCTTATAAGTGGGAGAACTAGCATGCTTTATAACTCAGGTCTCCTGCACATAGTGTAGTGGCAAAGAACACAGGTTCTAGAGCCAGACTTCCTGGGTTCAACAAGTTCAGCTCCATCATTTACGAGCTGTGTGACTGGAAGCAAATGATTTACATGTCAGAACTATTACTCTTCACAAAGGGATATTTTTATCTTCCTTAGGTAGAAATAAGGAACCACAGAGAAATTCTAAAGTGAAGAGCATGTTAGATGGCTTTGATTTTCTCAGTAAAGGGTAATTACACCTACTAAGAGTAATAAGGGCAGGGCAGTTTTCAACTGTGGTCTGTAGATGTGCCAGTGAATCCCCATACACAACCAAAGTAAGTTCTGTTTTATACGTTAAGCATCCTTTGTTTGAGGGGTTCACCTGATTTCAAGTTTTAAAGCCACTGGATTATATTCATCTCTAAGGTCTCTTAGAAGATAATAAGATTTTATTCTTTGCCTTTGAACCCATTACTAGCTTTTTTTCCCTCTTACCTATCAAACAAGTATAAACTCTCCCTCCCTGAGTCTCACAGCATTTTATGCCTCTTTATGACACACTCTTCAATATAAGCACAAAGGCCATTCTCTCAATTAAATTTAAGCTCCTTCAGGGCAGGCACTTAGTCATTTAGTCATTTATTTTGTATCCCTCAACCCCAAACACAACACAGGCAAGCGCTTTGTAAGTACTTGTTAAATATATACAGTGGTTTAATGTGAATATACTAAAATTAGTCAGCTTTGGTTTCCTGGCATTTCATGGAAGTTATTACTTGATGGTTATTCATCTCCATAATATTAAGCAATATACATTGATGGTCTCCCTAATAAGGAACATTCATTTGAAACATTTTTTTAAAAGGGCACAAAATGTAAAATAAGGAAAAGATAAAGGAAACAGTTAATTTTTGTACTAAATGCATGTAAAATCATACAACTTACCCTGATACAGCTGAAACAACAAAGCTTGGAGCAATGAGGACACAGGCGAGCATCCCGCAATTTCTCCATACAAATGAAACATCGGAAAACCTCAGCAATGCTCTGAAAATAATGAAAGATGCAAGGTAAACCAGGTTAGGCTACTGAATCAAGAGTAAAAATAATTGCTTAAAATAATTTACTTGACATTGACATTTATTTTTGGCTGATAACTCAGTTTTAACTATATTCCATATCAGGACTTGGTTAGTCAAGGTCCAGGGTACCTTAGAACATCTCCTGCAAAAAGTGCTTCCTTTTTTCTAAGCTTCACAATGGTTCCATTCTAAGGAAAGGATATGAAATGCAAAGAAAGACTTATGTACAAATCTTTTCAGTGAAGCATTAATTATAACTGCAAGAATCTGGCTATAGCCCAAATGTCCAAATATTAAATTATGGCAGTTAACATAGATTATGACACAGTCACTACAAATATTTCTTGATTTATTTAATGATACAGAAAAAAATGCTTGTGATGTATAACAGTAAGGAAAAAGGGGCAGACTGTATGATTAAATTAACAATATGAATTTCTAACCTTTCCCATAATTCCCCAAGGGGAATGAGTTACCTTTATAATTAAAAAAAAAAAAGTTTTAAAAAAATACGTATCCTAACAGCAGTGTATTAATACTTTGATCAAGAAAGAAACTAATCCAGGATCCAGAAATTCGAATTTTTTCCCCAATGCTGCAACCACCTAGTTACTTCTTTGAGCCTGGGATTCTGGCCCTAATGAGAATTTTGGCAGCAGCTCTACCAATGTTTTGGGAAAGAAAAAATAAATTATGTAAATAGAAGAAACAGTATTATCTTTGCAAGCCTCAGATGAATCAATTTAGGAAGTAACTGACAAGATACAACTAAATGTAGATTATTATATATTTTATTTTTACAGTACTTACATTTATTTTTTTACTCCATTCCAGGAGAATTAAACTCTCCTAAAAGGTAAAATTATCAAATCTTTACAATATCTTCACATGAGGAATTAAGGAGAATATTATTCATGAACCTAACCATAACTGCAGGGCCAAAGAACCTGTGAGGTGCAGACGCTGACGGCTGGACAATAAGACCATTGGGTGAACTAGTTTCAAGTGGAATGCCCAGTAATATAGTTGCCCTTAAGAAGAAGCAAGGATTTAGTATTTTAGTATTTGGAATGTTCAAAATTTGGCAATTATTATATAATTATGCCCAATAATCAACCTTTTTTAAATATTCCTAGCCTTTACGTAAACATCCCAACCATCTGAAATCACAGCTTACAAGGCTCAAATATAAAAAAGAAAAAATAGAGAGACAGAGGAATAGGGAGGTAGGTTCTTTTCTCTAGCTAGCTACAGCCAAATAAGATAGTAAGAGTACATACACCCTCATTCAATCTAGGAAGGGCAGAAGTCTGCAAAATGTACTCTGGGAGGAATAACCACCCATTCGGAGGGAGATTTGGATCCGCGCATCACCTAGCAAAAACTGACTGCAAGTGGCAGGGCACGTCCATCTAATGAATTTGCAGTTTTGCTCTGCACAGGCTGTAGTTTGCAAATACCCCGTGGGGATTAGTACCAGTGCCAAGACAACCAGAAAGCGCCAGGGCAGGTACCACCTGACTGCGGGAACGGTCAGGGCGCAGGCACCTGGAGGGCTGCAGAACACAGCGTCCTTCGCACCTGGCCAGTCCTCTCTGCAGCGGCAGCAGTGGGGTAGGATGCCCTATCAAAGACAGGACTAGGGCGAGGCGTCCCGATTAAAGAACTCTCAGCGGGTGGTGGGGGAGACTAACCACCACCCTCCTCAACCACCCTCACCTCCACGCTTTGTTCATCCATTGCCTCTGACTCTCGGCGGAGCCCCCGGCGACTGGCAAAGTCCGTGATCTGACCTATTAGGCGCCGGCCCGAGGTCGCCAGGTCAGATCGCTGCGGAGAACCGCCCGGCGCCCACTTCAGGGGGCTCCGAAGACCGCCCCACCTGCGCGCCCCATGGCTTCGGGTTCGGCACCAGCTACCCCCACTTCGCCATTTTTATCCGCGCGCCCGCCCTAGGGCGCAGTGGGAGGGCGAGCGGTGGCCGCAGATCCTTCCTCCCGACTCAGCCGCCCGCCAGCGACCGCGAGGCAGCCTCGGCCCACGTGACGATGGCGGGCGCGCGCGTCTCGAACCGCGGCTGAAGCCCCGCGGCACTGGTCTCCAGCGAGGCAGGCGCTGCAGGGAATTCACAAACACCAACGGTAACCAGGGCAGCTGGAGGCGCGGCGGCGCGGGAAGACGCTGGCGCGCATGCGCGCCGGACGCTGCGTTAGGGGAACTGCGAAGGGAGGCTGGCACCTAGTTCCCGCGGTGCGGGGGCGCACACGAGATTTGGAATCTCGTTGCAGCGTGGTTGCGTGCCTTCGACCCCAGGCTAGCGCAGGCAGCAGAAAACTTGGCGCTTGGCTGCGCCCCGCCCCTCAGGAGAGGCGGTGCTCCACTGATCTCAAACTTTTGCGCGCCAGAGTGGTGGTGCCACAGGGAATGCTTGTAGAAAACGCGAACTCCGGAGACACACCCCTAGGTATTTAGACTTCGTGATTCTAAGGTGGGGTTCCACGAAATCCGCGCTTTTAACAACCACTCTCAGCAATTAGGCTGCTGTGGCCCGCCCTTTGAGAAACTGTTGCAGAGGGTTCCTGCTGTTTGCAGCAGTCCTTTCTCTGGGAGGAAGCTCAGATTTTTAAGACTTCCGTTGCATCTATCGAAGCAAAGCTCCAGATTGTCAAGGCGAGAGCAGTGTAGTTTATCATCTCGGGGGTGGGAGGTCAGAACCACACATGTAGACGTTAGACGCACACCTCACCTCACTTTGCATTTCTTTCCACTTGAGGTACGCTGTCTCTATTGGGGACTATGGGAGGTACCAAAGGGTCTCAGCTGTATTCAACTTTCCAATATTGGTGACTGCTTTCTACAATTTTCTAGCATAACATAGCTATTCAAATATGCGCAGGAATTGAGACAAAGGGTGTCCATCAAATTCTTAATTTGAATTTATTTTTTTTCTTTCTAGTTTGTTGCAAACTATTACACTTAACCTAACCTAGAATGCAGATGTAGAGAAACAACAATATCCTAGAAAGTTCTTGAATATCAAGGCATTTGGATTTTCATTTAGAAGTAGTAGGCAACATAATTTTAACTACGTGAGCCACAAAGATAATATAGAAAGATTAACCTGTGACTGAAAAATGGTTTCACCAAAAATTATTTATGGACAGGAACTTCCTTAATGTTAATTGCCTGAGTATTGAAGAAATTAATGTTACTATGGTGTGACTTATTTTTCTGTAATTTAAAAAAGGGGCTTTCTGTTCTTGAAATATTCAAACTACACAGAACAACTTTAACTGCAGATAACTCTCCCAACCCTGTTAACTATTGTTTAAGTTTGTCAATGGACAAATACTCATAACAAAATTTTTAATTATATTAAATAATTCTATAACCTACATAACATTTGATGCATTTTTCCTAGTCTTTTCAATGCCTCACTTTTATTATGTATATGGAAATATACTTTATTGAAGGATTAAATATTGAACCCAAATATTATGTCGCGCTTCCAACCATCCTGGCACATAGAAGTTAAGTGATTTGCTCAGTCACTCAGCTAGAACTTAAACCTGCTATTTACATCTCAGGTGTGACGTCAAAGCCCACTCTTTTTCTTTTTTTTTTTAAAGATTTTTATTGGGGAATTGGGGGGATGGGAACAGTGCTGGGGAATTGGGGAAAGGGGAACAGACAAGTTGCTGTCGTTTTGTTCTTCAATCTAGTGGAGGACGTTGCTTCACTGGCCCAAGTTGGCACCATCATTGCGCTCTTCTCTGGCGAGGCAGATCAGTCGCCGGCATCTGGACGGCCGCTCACGCTGGCTGCTGGCCACACACGGTAGCCCATTGCAATCCACTGCCACATCAAAGCCCACTCTTAACTACAAAACTGCAATATCTGCTTCCCCTCTCTCCCATTTAGCTTCAGCATTTCCCAGAACATTAATAATTTATTGGCTACTTGACTTCTTATTGCACAGATACACCATGATTTGCTCTCCTGTTTACCTGCCATTAGCCAGACGTGTGTGTATTGCTATTATAAACAACCCTGTGATTAACATCAAGGGTTAACATTTGTATCAAGATCTGTCCCTACTTTGGACAATTACCTTATTGTCAAGTTATTTAAAAACAAATGGGGAAACACACACACACACACACACACACACACACACAGAAAACTGGTAAGAAGCAATTGCCAGTGCTCTTTTGATTGCAATTTCTTAGCTTTCATATAGAATGAATAATTACAGTAATATAGGCTGGAGAACAAAGGTATTGAAATATAACAGGGACAGTCTAAAATAGCATTTGAATGTAGAGTCATGCTGCTCAACATTAGCAGGCAGAAGGAATAGGAAAAAAGTAAAAGTGAGGCTGTCACAGGAGAACCAGCTTATTACAAAGGTTCAGTGTTATGGGAGACTACAGGTCACATCCAATCTCACCTACAATGTGACCACATCGACAGTCAACGTGTTCAAAAATAGGAAATTCTATACATGTATAATACAAATATTTTTTCTATCCTTTATTTTCCAAAGCATGCTCATTCACATTCGACTGGCTGATAGCACATGAACATTCTTTTAATGCCAGGACAGGACATCTACTCGTAGGTTATCCCGATTATACAAAAACAGATGAAAACAGTGTTAGAGATCCTTGTCTGAAATTACAAAACTAAGTGTGTGTGCATATATATTTTAAATCCCTTTATTCCCATTCCATCCTTTTGACTGAAATTTATTCATGTATCTGCCCTTCTTATAGTCCCCTCTCTTGTGAAAGGCATCACTACTTGGTCACGTAGGCCAAATCTCCTCCTTCACCACACTTGACCTCTAGACATCAGGTGCTAACAAGACATCTTCCTTAAATCTCTCTGGAGTTGATCTCTATTTTTATAGAGTTCCTTTTTGCAAGTCCATTTCTTCATAAGTCTGACATGTGAGATTTTAATTGCTGTGCCGCAGTTTTCTCTTCTTCAGTCAGTGGTGACAGCTAGAAAACAAAGTCTTTATTTCAAAAACCTTGAAAGGCTTCAACTATAATTTTAAAAAAAACAACACCTTAAAGACTTAAATCAATTTAGTTAAGTCTACTTTGTCACACAAATAAATGTTTCCATAAGTCCATACCGTATATGTGGTCACAAGTTTAGGAAAGCAAGGGGAAAAGAGATATTTGACTGACTATATACAAGGTACTTTGATGTTTGTTCAACTTAATTGCAAGTTCTTTGGAAGCTCAAAAAACAAGACTAAGAATCAAACGGTTTAAGGACTGTAATTGAATAGAACCAAAGAAGTCATGTTTGAATGCCATATTCTAAAAGTATTTTGAAAAAGAAATGTGAAACAAAAATTGTCTGAAAGTACTCTCAGAAGTAAAGACGGGTTAAATTTTGAAGGATAATTAAGATGCTTTTAACTGCAAATAATAGAAACACATTTCAAAATTGATAAATAAGAAAAGTTATTGTCATTGTACAATAAATACAGAAGAAGGGCAGACTTCAGGGCTGGTCTGTTCAGCAGCTCAAGAATGTAAGGATTCAGTTTATTCCATCTCATGGCTCTCATAACCTTGATGGTGGCTTTATCCACCAGCTGACAGGAAAATGGCTCTAGCAATGCTAGGCATCACATCTATACAAAATGTTTGGAAGACAAGTTTTCTCTTCCTAGGGGTCTCTCAGCAGTGAGGAAACTCTTCCTAATTTCCTACTAACCGACTTTCCCTCCTCACATGACATTTGGGTTATAAACCCATTCCTGAACCAAGGTCAGTTAAAGGAAAATCTATTCCCCGTACCAATCAGGTACACCCCTGAAACAGGATCGTGCTAACTTCATGTACCTCAGGCATGAGGCTGCGAGGGGCAGCACACAACTCAAGAAAGTCAGTACTCCATTAGGCAGTGCTGACAAAACAACCAGCGAACTGTATCTACAAAGGCAGGTAGAAGCAAAAACGAAGGGAAGAAGGGGAGCCAAAGGGAAACTATTTGTAAGGGATTTTCACAGAGCACCAACAAACAGGCTGGTTGCAACAAAGGGTTCCATGCGGAAATAAGAGGAGGTACAACCAGAAGAGTCACTCAAATAGTGAAGTAGTCCCTGGCTAACTATATACAGTAGTCCCAAGATATGTTCTAAGACACCCAGTGGATGCCTGAAATCGTGGATAGTACCAAACCCTATATATACTATGATTTTCCCCATACATACATACCTGTGATAAAGTTTAATTTATTAATTAGGCACAGTAAGAGATTAACAACAATAATAAAACAGAGCAATTATAACCATATACTATAAGAAAAGTTATATGAATGTGGTCTCTCTCTTTCTGTCTCTCAAAAGATCTCATTATGATCTACTCACCCTTTCACTTCAAGGAAGCACTTTACGGCTTCTCTTTGGCACACTGGAATTTCCAGCATCACAACTCTGGCCCAGCATCCATAGTGCTGTGCTTTGGGACCATTATTAAGTAAAATAACAGTTACTTGAACAGAAGCACTGCAATCCCACAACAGTCGGTCTGATGACTGAAATGGCTCCAAAGTGACTAACGGGAGGGCAGCGCATATAGCATGACACACTAGACAAAGGCATGATTCACATCCCTGGGCGAAATGGAGTGGGACTGCTCGAAACTTCATCATACTACTCAGAATAGCAGACAATTTAAACTTTATGAATTGTTTATATCTGGAATTTTCCATTTAATATTTTAGGACGATGGGTAACAAACGGCATAAAGCAATACCACACATAAGGGGGAACTACTGTAGGTCATCTCTAGAGACACTGATAAATCTAGAGCACCCCATAACTACAGAATTAGAATCTCAAGGGCAGCACTGTCCAATAGAACTTTATGTGATACAAAAATATTCTATATCTGCGTTGTCCACTCAGTCGATGAACAACTGAATTTTCTATTTTACTTAATTGCTTTAATTTTTAATTTAATTTATATAGCTATGATTGGCTATTGGACAATCTGGGTGTTTCAGCCGATCAAGCCAAAATTTGCTCCAAATTCACATGGATTAAATGAAAAACAGTCATATGCCTTACTACAACCCAAATAGTTACAAAATTTCCCTCTTCTATCTCAAAAACAGGAAATGGTGTTATTCTGGCAAGTCTTTGTCCTCCAATCCATGTTGCTCTTTGTGATCAATGTTCAAGAGATTTCAGACCATCAAAGAATTTCTCCAGAAATTAACCAGTCTAAGGTTTGTAGGGATTTTTCTTTTTTAACACAAATGTTTTGGAGCACCAATGTAATACCACATATTCAATTTTTAATGCCTTTCTAATTTTCTATTTATTACTATTATTGGGAGGGGGGTGGTTTTGCTATTTTTTATTTTAGTACTAGTTTAGTCCCTTTTTTTGTTTTTTGGTGGTCACCTATATAACCAAGTATATTTAAACCTCAGTGTCTTACTATCAACTAAAAAGATGATGAAATTAATATGTATTCCCTTTCTTCCACCTCCTTTTCTATTCTTCTCTCTGTATTTATTTTTTAATATTTTTAATTCGTGTTCTTTTTTAATATTCTCAATTCAAATGTATTTTCTATCCTTCCAAATGAAAGAGTACCACTTGTCTTGAAAAATAGTATAGCAAGATAATACCTTAACAGTTTCTGTTGTCTATAAGCAAATCAGCATTTGCCTTAGGTAGACGTATCACTTTCTTGTTCTTCATGTTCCCAAAATAATTTTAAAGGCCCTTTTGGTTGTTTTAAGTTTTTGAAGCCTCAGCTCAATCAAGTCTTTGGCTTTCTTAACTATTCTCCCAGCTCTGTCTCTATCACTGATATATCTCTTTTTATACTTGAAATTCCTTTATAAGGTCTACCTTGCAATGCCATTTAAACTCTGGTCTAATAGAACTATTTTTGGTTTTCCAAGTCTCTACAGATGCCATTCCCTTTTCTTCCATATTTTGATCACAAAAATTTGCTCTGAACTTTCAACTACTATCTCGTTTTTAAAATAGTAGGTACAAGACCCAGTTATCCAACAATCCCCAACTTGGCCATCACTGATTCTAAAATATGGTCTCTTTTTTCAGAGTTTATAACTACCTTTCAGTCATTTCTCCTTGTTTGTCATCATCTGATCCAAAGTGAAACTTCCTTACTTTCTACCTTTGATAGAATTATTGCTCATTTTAGATACTTCTTTCAACTGAATGAACACCTTTACAGATACTTAGGTGACTGAAATCCCCTATCATTACCATAACTATTTTTTGGTACCACTTTGTAAGTTGTCAGAAATATACCATCTATTTATTGGATCCAGTGGGGGAAATTTTTAGTCAGTATTCAAAATATCATTTTTCTCTTTGTTTACTCACCCAAGTTTATTCTGTGTGTCAGTAAATTTATGGATTTCTATACATATATGTTGATATTGCCCATCCAGAACTATGCTTAATCTCTCTTCAAGATTTGTTTCTTTAAAACAAGTTTATGTGTTTCTATTGTTAGGCTCTGATCACATACAAAGAATATGTGATTTGAGTTGTATTTCTGAAAGGTTATATACATACTTTTTTACATGCTATATATCAGCATGTGAAACCACCCTTACTATTGTAAATTCCCATTCCTTATTACTTCTGCACTCTTTTTAATTGCTCTACCCTCCTCCTCTGTTCATCTCTCCGTGACATAACAGATACATCTAACGTATCATTTTAAATTTTTAACCAGGTATTGTTTTCTTGTCCTTCATTGGCAATATAAAGAATTCTTGATCTAATTGACCTGGGTAATCAAATTCTGAGACTTACTCTAACTACAAGACCCAAATTCAAGTATCTTAAGCCATAATTTAGTTCAGAGTTGGCAAATAAATACCATGTATGCTGCCCCTAGCAGCACACCCACAGCTGACAGCTTTTGTGCCAGGCCCAGACAGCTCCTTAAAATGGCACTCTAAGCAGCTATTACCAGTTAACTGATTGTAGTTGTCACCAGAAATTAAAAACCTATTGGCCATCTTTTGTCTAGATAATTAAGTTCCACTCTATGATTCCATCTATATATAGTCTATCTTTTCTTTTGAAAGCTGCCAACTTTGCCTTAATAGTAAATGAAAATATTAACAAATCCTTCAGTTGGCAGTTCGAGATCTTAGTGCCTAAGTCAACAGCTCCTATTCTTTTCTCTCTCTTTTTTCTTTTTTCTTTCTTGTTGGGTAATTGGGGGACGGGAACAGCGTTGGGAAATCGGGGAAGGGAACAGACAGGTAGACAAATTGCTGTTTTGTTCTTCAATCTAGTTGTGGAGGACGTCGCTTCACTGACCCATGTTGGTATGATCATTGCGCTCTTCCTGGGTGAGACAATCAGTCGCCGGTCATTGGTCAGCTGCTCACGGCGGCTCACAGCAGCTCACAGCAGCTCTCGCCCACTGCCGGCCACTCAAGCTGGCTGCCAGCCACTCACATAGCTCATGGCAGCCCACTGCAGCCCTGCTGCAGCCCACGCCGTGGCCGGCGACTCACAGCAGCCCAGTTCCAGGTCGAGCTGTTGTTCATCATCTTAGCTGTAGAGGGCAGTGTCACTGGCCCTCATCTGGGATCCGAACCGGAGCCCTGCTGCTCAGAGCTGGCGCTCCCAAGCGAGCTCTTAACCAGCTGAGCCACTCAGTCGGCCCTCCTATTCTTTTTTCTATTCCAACATATGAGGTCTGACAATTAAGTTCATGAACTTGTTACAATGATGTTGCTAACCTTTTTTGACATCAGAGGGATTATTCATTATGAATTTATACCAACTAGACAAACAGTTCACCAAATTTACTATTTGAAAGTGCTGAAAAGGCTGCGTGAAAAAGTTAGACGACCTGAATTTTTCACAAACAATTCATAGTTCTTGCATTATGACAATGCACCAGCTCACACGGCACTGTCTGTGAGGGAGTTTTTAGCCAGTAAACAAATCACTGTATTGGAACACCCTCCCTATTCACCTGATCTGGCCCCCAATGACTTCTTTCTTTACCTGAAGATAAAGGAAATATTGAAAGAAGATATTTTGATGACATTCAGGACATCAAGGGTAATACGACAGCTCTGAAGGCCATTCCAGAAAAAGAGTTCCAAATTTGCTTTGAAGGGTGGAATAGGCGCTGGCATCAGTGCATAGCTTCCCAAGGGGAGTACTTCGAAGGTGACCATTCGAAGGTGATCATTCAGCAATGAGGTATGTAGCACTTTTTCTAGAATATGTTCATGAACATAATTGTCTGACCTCATATATGGAGAGTTTTACATATTAGTCATAGAGGCTCATAATTATTAATATAAGGATTCTTAACAGTAAATGAGAAGGGGTTGGGGAATGGATGGAAAGAATGAAGATCAGGCTTACCCAAGCACACCAACCCAATAGAAGAAGTCGCTGTTATAGCTGCTTTCCAGATTTCTCAGTCTCACTAGTTCTTATGGAACCACAGAGCTGGTAGATTTAATAAGTATTATCAACTTATCTCTTCTGCCATGGCTACATAATCCAAGACAGCATACCTCTTTCATCAATGATGTCAAGTTCATATGTTTATTTTAAAATAAAGAAGAGGGCTGGCCGAGTGGCACGCTGGTTGAGAGCTGGCTTGGGATGCCAGCTTTGAGCAGCAGGGCCCCAGTTCGGATCCCACATGAGGGCCAGTGACACTGCCCTCTACAGCTAAGATGGTGAACAATAGCTCGACCTGGAGCTGGGCTGCCATGAGTCACCGGCGATGGCGTAGGCTGCAGTCCCTGCTGCAGTGGGCTGCCATAAGCTACCGTGTGTGGCCGGCAGCCATCATGAGCGGCCGGCAGCCGGTGTGAGCTACCAAGAGCCACCAAGAGCGGCCATCCAAAGGCCAGCAACCGACCTACCTCACCCGGGAAGAGTGCAATGATGGTGCCGGCATGGGCCAGTGAGGCAACATCCTCCACAACTGGACTGACAAGCAAGGGGACAGCAACTTGTCTGTTCCCCTTCCCCGATTCCCCAACGCTGTTCCCCTCCCCCAATTCCCCAATTAAAAAAATAATAATAATAAAGGAGATAAGAGCTATTATACTTCTGGGAATCAAGAAAATCTGATTTCTATCAACAGTTCAAACTGCTGAATTTTAAAATGAAAGCTACTGGGGATTTATTTTTCAAAGCAACACTCAGAATAAAAACTCTACAAATCCAACTTGTCAATTGAAAGCATTACCTCCAGGTCTGTGTGCTTTTGTAGTTCCTGTATCATGGTCACAGTTTTATTCAAAGTAGCACAAATGCGGCTCTTAGTCTCTTTCTGCTCGACGGCAATTGGTTTAAAGCGTGCATGCAAAGTTTGATATCGAGACTTTATTGCTGACAATTCCTTTAAGAGTGTAACTGGATTTTTCTATATCAGGAAAAAAATTAATACATATTAAATGATGGAAAGGAAAAATTCAGCTTTTGAGAATTAAAATATATATAACACATTCTACCATCCATTTAATCAAACACTGGATTATATTATGCAACTGTGTGATAGAGGATGGAGGAAGGGAAGAAAGGGAAAAGTATAAGACCTACATCATAGTGTCAAGGAATTTAAAGCCTAGGTACAGAAATAGCCCCCTACACACACACACACAAATATTAAACAGCAAATTAAGTCATTATAGATATCTAACATTTGATGGATAGTTCACAATAATAAATTACATAGTATTCTAAAATATAATTCTAAATGCTGTTCAGAAGATGATTAAAGGAACTATGTTAATCTGTTGTGAAAGAATAAGGCAACTTGAAACCACTTATAAAATTTTTAAACACATTGTCATGGGGCTAAAGCGTGTATTTAGTCAATTCATTGACTTCACAATACAAAATTAATGCCCACTAAAGCAACTATATTTAGAAATTACATTGGTTTTTCAGATTCATTTTGGAATACAAATAATCACTATTCCATAAAAGACATTTCAGCTGGGTCCTTCCTGCCACTTGGTAATTCCTTTCGTTCCCCGATGGGCCCTTAGCAAACCCTCTAGTAACTAGCTATTCCAAACTTTTTCTACTCCCTCCAGTTTCCATCCACTCCTTCTTAACACAAGACCTCACCAACTACTTGACTGAGAAAGCAGAAAACATAGTAGAAACTCCATCTCCCTGGCTTTTCATCCCAAAATGAAAGTATGGACACTCTCATCCATACTCAGCCCTTAACACTACCACTATTATTGTTGTTTCCTCCCCAGATACTCCATAACCTTAAATTTCCTATTATTTCAATAATCTTTTCCGTATCTCCCTTTGTAGAGACCTCAAATATCTATAGATCTTCTCAATACTGAGGGAAAAATTAATTTCTTCTCTTGACTCTGTTGTCACTTCAAAACCAATTTCATTTTTCTCACTCCATTTGCCACCAACTTTCTAGGTTCTATAATATACTCCCTCAGTTTAACATACCCATAGACTATTATTCTTTGCCAAATCATTTTTAAAAATCAGAAGCTCAGGATTGCCCTATAGCATCTAATTTGGATACCCCTCTTTTTGCCTCTCCTTTATTTCCTTCCTCTTCCAATCTTCTTAAAATGAACTCCTGATTTCCATAAAACTATACTATCTTGGTTATTTTCCTACTCTTCAAATATCTCCTTCATGGACCCTATGTCTTGGCTATAGGCAGAGGCTCAGTTCACAGCCCTCTACTTCTCTCTCGTTCTTGGAGGTTTTTCTCTAAGCCTTTAATGATGGAAATGGTAAATAAAGATGATTCTGACAAGAAGGAATAAGAGCAGAAAATGTAACTTAAAGACTGTTAAAATAATTCTGCAGAGAGCGATCAAGACCTATGGCATGAATAGAAGTAGGAAAGGTACACAAGAGAGACACCATATAAAAAGTTAAGAACACTTCCTAGTACGTTTGATGTAGGCAAAGAAATAATTGATGACACCAAATGTGTATTAAGATGCTTTTTGGCATATCTACTCAGTATACACCCCAGTGACATTGAGACCTGTCCCCTCACCCTCAAGGGTAGATATCCCATCATGAGATGCCAAATATTTTATTGGATAAAAGATCTCCAATAGGAAAACTGGAAAATTCAGGGGGGGAAAAAACAACTAACAAGTAGGAAAGAAAATACATAAAAATGAAAATAGGAAAGAACAGATAAGAAAAATAAAGGATAGATCCAGGAGGTCCAATATATTTTCTTACAAATATACTGGGTAAGAAAAGTTGTAAGACTTCAGATTTGTGCGATTTCAGATTTAAAGTGTCCCACCAAGTGACAGCACAATTAATGAAAAGACCTATACCATAACTATAAAATGACCATAAAATAAAGTTCACAGCATGGATAAAATATTCTGAAAGTTCCAATGATGGTGTGTGTGTGTGGGGAGAGGGGGTAGAATAAGGAGGCAGACACACACACAAAGGATCAGAGATTAGAATGGCATCTATTTCTCAACAGGAACACAAGAAGCTTGAAAACCACAAAACAATAATGTTAATATCAAGAGAAAACAATCTCCAATCTAGAATTCCATACTCAACTAAACTATCCATCAAGTAAAGGGTTAAATAAAGACATTTAAACATTCAATGTCTCAAAAAAATTAACCTTTTGTGTATTCTTTCTCAGAAAGCTTCTAAAGGATATGCTTCACCCAATCAAAGCAATAAACCAAGGAAGGGTAAAACATGTGATCCAAACTGGAATAAAACAAAGGAAGTTACTGAACTGATGGTAAAGAAATTGCAGAAACACAGTCATGCAGGAGTCCTGTAGAGGAGGTTGGATTGGAGCAGGAAGATAGCACAAGAAGGGATATGGAAGAAAATGAAACCTAGGGATCATGTGATGTGTCTGGCAATGTTGACAAGAGTTTTACAGTTCGGTTAGAAAAGTCTGAGGCTGAATTCATGATAAATGCATAGAAAAACTAAACAACTGAAGAAAAAAAAGAAAACAACTATTAGCTTACACTAGTTGTGTAAGAAAGGAAAAGCAAACATTAGTATATTATATGACTTAGATAAAAGCAGTATTTACAGATACCCATGGTTGCTATGGTCTAAATATGTCCCTCCAAAATTAATTTTTTGAAACATAAAACCCAAAGTTATGGAATTAGGAGGTGGGGCCTTTGGGAGGTGATTAGCTCAGCGCCATCATGAATGGGATTAGTGCCTTGATAGAAGAGGCCCCAGAGAAATCTTCCCCTTTGGCCATGCTAGGATACAACTAAAAGTCTATGACCCAGGAGAAGGCCCTAACCTGACCATGCTGGCACCTTGACCCTGGACTTCTGTTGTTTATATGTTATCTAGTCTATGGCATTATGTTATAGCAGCCCAAATGGACTAAGACATAATATAAACAACAAATATGGATATATCCAGAAATTGTTAAGATGGGGATAAATATGGGTAATAAAGTACTTAATCTTTACCTTCCATAATAGGAAATGGATATTAATAATAATAGCTAAAATAAAATAATAATAGCTAAAATATTAATAATAATAGCTAAAATAAAATAATAGCTAAAGTAAAATAATAATAGCTAAAATAGCTAGACCAAACAGTTCTAAAATCATTACAAACATTACCAAGTTTATTCTCTCTCAACCTACAAAGTAGGCAGTAATATCCTCATTTTATAGATGAGGAATAAAAGTAGAGAAAGTTTAACTGACTTGCCCAATCACAATGCAGAGCTGGGATTTGAATTAGAACAGGCCTGTATACAGGAAATCAATAGATGTTTCAAATCAGGAGGAAAATGGCAATACAAGCATACTAGAAATATAGAGGTAAATACAAAAAGATGCTGAAATAAAATAGTGGTCTTCTTGGGGGTGGGAAGAGTGTGAAACAAAGGAATTACTGTTAGCAATTTAAAGCTTTATGCTTCTATGACTTTTCAAATTATACACAAAAATTAATTTAACAGAAGTAAAAGTTTAAAGTTGGGAGAAAAACTGGTATGGGGGTAGGAGACATCAACTGTGAGGTGTTAGAGAATCACGTAAGTATAAATGATCTTTAGGTAACTAGAAGACAGCTTAGTAGTAAATTGCCCAAACACTTGTAAATATAAATCAAATAATGAATTCTCCAAATACAAATTCATAGAAAAATAAATGTGAGAACTAATCCTTGATGATCTCCCAAAGTAGGAAAAGAATTAGTGAATCAGGCACAAGGAATAAACAGCCATAGAGCTATGAGTTAGAATAAGTAGGCAATTACCTATATTACATGTTTTTGTGACATTAACTGGATCTAATAAAATTGATATGGCGGGCCGGCCGAGTGGCGCGATGGTTAAGAACTCGCTTGGGATGCCAGAGGGCCCCGGTTCGGATCCCACATATGAGGGCCAGTGACACTGCCCTCTACAGCTAAGATGCTGAACAACAGCTCAACCTGGAGCTGGGCTGCCGTGAGTCGCCGGTGACGGCGTAGGCTGCAGTCCCTGTGGCAGTGGGTTGCCATGGGCTACCGTGTGTAGCCAGCAGCCGCAGTGAGCGGCCAGCAGCCAGCGTGAGCGGCCGTCCAGAAGCCGGCGACTGATCTGCCTCGCCAGGGAAGAGCGCAATGATGGTGCCAACTTGGGCCAGTGAAGCAGCGTCCTCCGCAACTAGATTGAAGAACAAAACGACAGCAACTTGTCTGTTCCCCTTCCCCTAATTCCCCAGTACTGTTCCCATCCCCCCAATTACCCAATAAAAATCTTTAAAAAAAAAATTGATATGGCAATGATTAATTCAAGATAACATGATTTTAGGACTTACCACCATACCACAGAGGAAAAAAACTCTTGGCACACATAGCATGTTTTGTTTGAATGAGTGGCTTCAATTCATTTTAGGGTTTTGTTTCTTATAAGTGGATGATCATTTATGAAAGGTCATAAGAAGTGTTCTGATAATGACAGTGCTAGTGATGAGGGAAAAGAAAAGCCAAAACGTGAGCAACATGCTCATCTCAATTAAGTCTTTTGAAAAAAACAAAAGGAAACGTGCCATTAGTTGTGTTACTAAATTTAAAAGAGTCTCCAGGGGAAATGTTCATAAAATAAAACAAAATTATCTTTCTAGGACAAATCTAGGTGAAGAACATGATAAGGGAGCTTGCAGTTTATTGTATCTTTACATCTAAATAGATTCTATTAAAAATGTTGATTTTTATGCAGAATTACTGACAGTCTCCAAATCACAATGGAATAGAAGAGGATAATGCAGCTAAACAAAATTATATGTATGTATCTGAGTGTGAGTATACACACACACACACACAGACACACACACACACATATATCACAGTAGTTGGTGCATTATCATGTTCAATTAATGTTTACTCCCACTGTCATCATGTAGAGGTATCAGAGGTTAGTGCAACTGGTCATTTACTTTCCTGTTCCTTGATACATATATAATCGCTAGGACTAATGTCAGTGAAATCTACAAAGATCAATAAGATCATGGTTTTCTTCCCAAATGTAATTACAAAAAGGATAAATATAAATGTTTAAAAAGTTATAGTTCTTCAAAAGTTAACAGAATTACCATATGATCCAGCAATTCCACTCTTAGGTATATACCCAAGAGAAATGAAAGCAAATATCCACCCAAAAAGTTGTACGTGAACGTATTTATGGTAGCATTATCATAATGGTGAAAAGGAGGAAACAACCAAAATGTCTTATCAACTAATGAATACATAAGAAAATGTGGCATACCCATAAATGAAATATTATTCTGCTATAAAAAATGAAATGATTCATACTACAACATGGATGAACTTTTAAAACATGCTCAGTGAAAGAAACCACACATGAAAGGCCACATATTATGTGGTTCTATTTACATGAAATATGCAGATGGCAAATCTGTTGACACTGTAGAGAAAGAAAGTAGATTAGTGGTTGCCAGGAGTTGGGAGGGTGAGGAGAGTACTGGGGAGTTACTGCTAATGGGTATGAATTTGTGAGGTGATGAAAATGTTCAAAAATTGATTGTGATGATGGCTGCACAACTCTGAATGTAATAAAAACCACTGAATTGCATACTTTAAAAGGGTGAATTTTATGTTATGTGAATTATAGCTCAATAAAGCCATTTTTAAAACAAGTTGTAGAAGAGAAAAATAACTGGAAGTGGAACAAAGATGCGAGATGGAAGGTGGAAGAAAAGTGGGAGCACCACATGAAATGTCTTCCTCATAGTACTTGAGAGACACTGACTCAGATGAGTCCTTTGGCCAGTCATTAGGTGGTACTACTGGACCAGAACTGGCTGGTTGTTCTTCAGTCAGAGAGAAAAGAGCTAAAAGTTAAGTCAGTTAAGGAGCTAGAATAGTTCTAGTAAGAAGCTAGAACGTTTAGTAAAACTGAACATTCACAATGTTTTCCCAATTTTATATAAATGTTTATTTTACTTTGTACTTCCATCCAATCAAAAAAAATTTTAAGTGTATAAAATTTTTGCAAAAACTGTAAAATATGATATTTCTTGTCTGCTGGCAAGTGCTATCAAAAATCAAAAGTAGGGTGCTCACTTCGGCAACACATATACTAAAATTGGAATGATACAGAGAAGATTAGCATGGCCCCTGCGCAAGGATGACACGCAAATTCGTGAAGCGTTCCATATTTTTGCATTGTTCTGTACACCTGAAACTAACAATAAAAAAATAAAATTAAAAAGACCCTACAACCGTCAGACCTTTATCACAGCATGAGACAAAAAGAATTCAAATTTTTAAAAACCTCACTTAATATGAGTAATGTTAAATGAATAAGGACGATACCACCAAGAGTAGGAATAAGCAATAAAAAGGAGTAACCCAGTCGTGATATTTAAAAAAAAAAAAATCAAAAGTAGGGCCAGCCAAGTGGCACATAGGTTAAGAGTTGGCTTGGACACCAGCCGAGTGGCGCGTTGGTTAAGAGCTGGCTTGGGACACCAGCTTGAGCAGCAGGGCCCGAGTTTGGATCCCACATGGGGGCCAGTGACACTGCCCTCTACAGCTAAAATGGTGACCAACAGCTCGACCTGGAGCTGGGCTGCCGTGAGTCCACCGGTGACGACATAGGCTGTAGCCCCTGCTGCAGTGGGCTCCCATAAGCTACCATGTGTGGCCCGCAGCCAGCATTGAGCGGCCAGCAGCAGGTGTGAGCTGCCAAGAGCCGCCGTGAGCGGCCGTCTAGAGGCCGGTGACCAATCTGTCTCACCTGGGAAGAGCAAAATGATAATACCAACATGGGCCAGTGAAGCAACGTCCTCCACAACTAGACTGAAGAACAAAAGGACAGCAACTTGTCTGTTTCCCTTCCCCCGATTCCCCAGCACTGTTCCCCTCCCTCAATTCCCCCAATAAAATCTTTAAAAAACAAACAAAAAGGGCCGGCTGAGTGGCGCAGTTGGTTAAGAGCTCGCTCAGGAGTTTGAGCTCTGATTAACAGTGGTTCGAGTCCTGGCCTGAGCTGAGTAGCCACTGAGCTGCCAACAGGTGGCAGGATGGCTCAGCTAAAAAAAAAAAAAAAGAAAAAGGACAGCAACTTGTCTGTTCCCCTTCCCTGATTCCCCAATAAAAAAAAATCTTAAAAAAAAAAAAATCTTAAAAAAAATCAACAGTAATGATTTAAGTGGTAAATTCATGTTAATAGACAATACTTAAAAACTCTTTGATTTCATCTTCCTGGGCATGTGTACATGTAGTTATGGCATAAAATAGAGCTAATATTTCTAAGCAACCTAACCTTAGAATAAATAAGTATATAAATTTAGATAAAAATCATAGTTCACATAACAAATTTAATAGTATATCATCATCTTCCTCAGAGAATATCATGACTGCCATGATTTCTCCCTTCATATTTAATCACTGCCGTAGAGGTATCTATATTCTCTCTCAGAATTTCAGAAGCTTCCACAATGGTTCATACCTCTGGACTTAATAATTCTTGTTTAAAATAAATATAGTCACAAATTTTCATGACTATGGGTATAATGGTATGTTCAAGTGTGATGTGACCAAGCTTCCAATACAAAAAGATTTTAAGATTCTATAAATGTAGTACTTAATAATATAATTGTTATAATCTACTACTATTAGAAATACAATCAGAAAATCTTTTAATAAATTGGCTGTTTAAAAGACATTTATTTCGCAGATTACCTCGCCTGCAGAATCAGGATAATTGGTCTTGATTTCATATTCCACCCTGTATTGAATGTAATCCAGATCAGAGTCAGCTTTCTGGAACTAAAAATCAGCACAAATTATTATTACATGAACCAAAAGACATTAATAAACATTATACTGTAACTATTCTCTCTTCTTTATATTTTTAGTATTTTAATGATATATACTCATTTTGAAAATATGGAAATAGAAAAGTATATAAAAAACCTCCCTCGTCTATAATACCCACACTCTATTAAAAATTTTAAAACTAGTTAACATTTTGAAAATCATTTCTCTGTGCATTTCTCTTAAATTTTGAACCAAAATTTACCAAAAAGCCACTGTTGTATATTAACGCAAGAACTAACAATGGCTTTAAGAATTCCCTAGGGTCATTGACATTCTCCTTAGGTAGACAGTGGTTCTCTATCTCTGGTAGAAAATGTGGATGTAGGGCTGGCCGAGTGGCGCACTGGTTAAGAGCTGGCTTGGGACACCAGCTCTGAGCAGCAGGGACCCGGTTCTGACCACATGAGGGCCAGTGACACTGCGCCCTCTACAGCTAAGATGGTGAACAACAGCTCGACCTGGAGCTGAGCTGCCGTGAGTCACCAGCGATGGCATAGGCTGCAGCCCCTGCTGCAGTGGGCTGCCATAAGCTACCGTGAGTGGCCGGCAGCCAGCGTGAGCAGCCAGTGTGAGCTGCCAAGAGCCACTGTGAGCAGCCGTCCAGAGGCCGGTGACCGATCTGCCTTATTCAGGAAGACTGCAATGATAATACCAACATGGGCCAGTGAAGCAACGTCCTCCACAACTAGATTGAAGAACAAAAGAACAGCAACTTGTCTGTTTCCCTTCCCCAATTCCCCAACACTGTTCCCTCCCCAATTCCCCAATAAAAATCTAAAAAAAAAAAAAAGTATCTGAAATGTTTTCCAAAAACAGAAGCTTCTCATTTGTCTTATATACTTGTTAGATTAGATACCATGACTCAATTAATTAATAAGCAGACTTCATGAACATACTAATAATTACTATATATGTATGTGTGTGTATAAAGAAATTCCTGCTGGTATAACTTCCCATATTAGAATGTGCAAAGAGATTATCTTTTCCTTTATATTAAAAAAGTATACTACTAACCTATATAACATGTGGATGGAGAGTGTGGGGAGGGTGATAGGAGAGGGCAAATCAAATCAAACAAAGGCTCTAAGGATTCAAGTCCAGATGTTTGTTTTAATTATTGAAATAGACCACAATTCCATAGCTTTATACATATAATTCAAGGTCTTAAATAACATTCTAAAGCATAATTTTAAATAAATTCTTAAGATTATGGGATTTGTAACTTCAGGGTTACCTTAAAACAAAATCTCTATTCTAGAAGCCCTTAACTTGTTTATAAACCAGAAATTCTTAAGCCTATGTGTGTTTTTTAACTTGGTATTTTAATTCTGCTTACAGTTTAACCAGCATAATCCCATAGTCCATTTAACAATGTATTCATTTCAAGACAGTGGTTTCAGCTATGGCTTCCTGGCTTCCTATAATATCTGAGGGCCCACAATGTATCAAAATCATCAAACAGTACCAAAAAGAAGTGGTTCCTACTTTCCAGTAACTTATATTTTAATAAGATATGAGTGTGCTCCAATCAATGGTATGATGGAGTCAGCTAAATTTTTGAGAATTTTTATAAGCCAATAGTTAAACACAGGCATCATTATATAAATTTACAATTAAATTATTAAAAAAGCATATACTCAAAAATCATAACTTCCTAGTTACTTTACTATATTTTAGCATTATCTATGCTCTTGAGGTCTATCATATCTGTATAGTAGAAATACTACATCATGTGCTACTATACATTGTCTTCCCAACTCAACTTTCAATGACCTCATGGTGGTAGCTTGAAATTAGCCAGGGTAAAAAAATTTACACAAGGAAAATAGGCAAATGCTAAAATCAGAGCCTTCTACTCCCTCTCCCCGGCTGCATTTATATGTATACCTTTCCAAAGATTTTTTCTTAATCCCCATGCCCCTTTTAAGTAATGTGCCCACACTTCTAATTGGAAAATATTTGAAAGAATAAATTGAATTTTAAACATACTTCAAAAGACAGGAAACTCAAAAAATTAAAAGTAGAATTACCACATGATCCAGCAATTCCACTTCTGGGTATACACCCAAAAGAACGGAAAGCACAGACACACACAGATATTAGTACATTCCTGTTAATAGAAGCATTATTCTAATAGCCAAAAGGTGGAAGCAACCCAAGCGTCCATTTACAGATGAATAGACAAAATGTGGTACATACATATAATGGAATATTATTCAGCCTTAAAAAGGAAACTCTGATACATGCCACACCATGGGATGAACACTGAGGACATTTTGCTAAGTGAAATAACCTAGTTACAAAAGGACAATATTGTGTAAGTCCACTTATATAAAGTTGCTACAGTACTCAAGTTCATAGAGACAGAAAGTGGAATGGTGGTGACCAGGTGTTACAGGGAGGGGACAGCGGGGAGCTATTGTTTCATGGGTCTGGGTTTCAGTTTGGAAAGATGGAGAAGTTCTGGAGATAGATGGTGGTGACGGCTGCACACAATGTAAATATATTTAATACCACTGCACTATACACTTAATGGTTGAAAATCTAAGTTTTATGTTATGTGCATTTTATCACAAATAAAGTTTATTTACAAAACAGGAAAAACAGCTTAAGAATAGAATGTTACCCTCTGTGAAGAAATGGACAGAATATTTTGTTATAATACATAGGGGAAGTATTTACTTATTAGAGGAGTCAGTGGGCTTAAGCAGGGGACAAAAAAGGAAAAAGGATACCAGTACAATGTTCAGAAATAGAAAAACAATCAAGATTCTCTGACCTGAACCCTTCATCTTATCAATGAAGACATAGTCTGTAACTTGCCTCCAGTTCTATTTTCATTACTGTTTTTTATGTAGTTAAGACCAAAGTTACACATAACATTAAAGCCAATAAAAGTCACATAGATGGGGAGAATGTAAAGGCTTTAACTAAAATTAAATTTAAACAGTTTTTTTAAATTTTTTATCTAATGTCACTGAAGTTAGTCCATTAAAAATTCCCTCTGGGCCGGCCAAGTGGCACGTTAGTTAAGAGCTGGCTTGGGACGCCAGAGGCCCTCGTTTGGATCCCACATATGAGGGCCAGTGACACTGCCCTCTACAGCTAAGATGCTGAACAACAGCTCAACCTGGGGCTGGGCTGCCGTGTGTCCCCAGCGACGTTGGCTGCAGCCCCTGCTGCAGTGGGTTGCCATGGGCTACCGTGTGTAGCCAGCAGCCAGCGTGAGCGGCCAGCTGCGGCCAGCTGCCTCAGTGAGCAGCCGTCCAGAAGCCGGTGACTGATCTGCCTCACCCGGGAAGAGAACAATGATGGTGCCCACTTGGGCCAGTGAAGCAACGTCCTCCACAACTAGACTGAAGAACAAAAAGGACAGCAACTTGTCTGTTCCCCTTCCCCCAATTNCAACTAGACTGAAGAACAAAAAGGACAGCAACTTGTCTGTTCCCCTTCCCCCAATTCCCCAGTGCTGTTCCCATCCCCCAATTCCCCAATTAAAAAAATTTTAAAATATTCCCTCTGAACACAGCCTGGTTGTATGGTACAGAAAAGAAGAAAATAAAGGAATCAAGATAGGTAATAGCAGTTCTAGCACTGGTATCACTAGCCAGCTATGTAGCCTTAGGTAAGTCCTCCATCTTTCTGGGTGGCTCCTATTAAATGACAGAGTTGGAAATGCAAGATCCCTTTCAACACTGGAATTCAATTATTTCATTGCACTACAAATAAAACCCAAGTTTAGTTTATCGAAATATTAAAATTTTAAAAAGATAAGTGTTTCCTTCTAATACAGAAAAATTTGACATTTGAATTTCAGATTTTGATATTTATATTGAAAATTAGCTTCTACTATTTTTTTCTTCATGAACAAAGATGACTGTTGCTTCAGTTTCAGCTACTGTTTCTGCAGCCTGCCCACTGTTCTTCCCAAACACCAAAACCCTATAAGCAATATTGCACTACTCAGAGCTATTTACACAGCAGAGACAATATCGATAGGGTTCTAGGATCTGGTGATTAAACAGGAAATTTTTTAGTGACACGTTAGGAAATTTACTGACCAATTATGATAGTCTCCAAAACTCATTAGTGTCTGATTAATGGAACAAAGTGATACTGATAAACTTCATTCACAGCCCCCCTCAGTTATAAATTAGCCTCTTGGAGGCCTTGTAAACAGTGAGGTTGCTCTTTAATGTAGCTACCTATCTTATTTTTAGGAGCATAAAACAAATTAAAACTAGTGAATTTTTTAAAGCCCAAGACAAATTCATATTTCAGAAACCAGTTTTCTCCTAAATCAGTGATAAAAATAGTGGGAAAAGTTTTATACCAATCCTAAGAGTAATAATACATGCGATTTAGCTGGGAAAAGTCCATGGAAATCAATATTAAAGCCCTAAAGACAGGCAAATTACATTCTGCCAATTGGACATCCTTGGAAGCACACCGTGGCTGTAATGAAGATACTGTACAAATGGGAGAAGGTATAGTTTAGCAAATCATTTTGATTTTTTAGAGAGCATGCTACCTATTTCACAAACATATAATATTCTGTTATACTAGCTTTTATTGTGACCAGCTAAAGGCTTTAAGTAAATGGCACACTGTATTACATACCACTCAACTATTTGGCAGAAAAATAGATAATTGCAGTCCAATTTTAAAACACTTCCTTTTTACAAACAACCCATAGATTCTCAACTGCCACAGTAGTGCTCCCTTTCAAAAGGACCAGTGCTCTCAAAGCTCCAAACACATCCTCCTGTGAGAGAGCTCATCTGAACAGCATCAAACCACAGGGAAATGAAGGGGAAAAATACGGCGGTCTGGTCTATGATGAGAAGAGCCAGTAGAAGTATGTTCTGGATTCATCTAGGCTTAGAAACGGATTTACCATATAAACATTTTTTTGAGGGAGAATCAGGTTAGCTATATAGACCTAGGTT